GCGAAAATTTCGGATGCGAATTTCGGACTCGGTGTGCAATGGCCTAAATTTTACGGCTAATTTTGTTTTGGAGGTGTCCTACAACAGGTTTACTACTTTTAAAATGACTAAATCTTTCCAACCCCAACTTTAGAAAGGTAGTATGCTTAAATATATTAATCGGCATCAGGTATAGTAACACAAAAAGAACAGTGTACGGTATTCATGACATCATACACATATTATAAGGAAAGTGAGGAACAGTTCTGGAGTGAAAGCCCTGCTGTGATTGAGGCATTTACGAGCACAAACTGTGGTGCCGCCGTGGCAGAGGAGGAGAGTGACAGTGACGGACGACTGAGCAAATCACTCCATGCGGACTCCGCTCTGAGTCGAGACGCCTCGCTTTATTGTGTGCAGGTTAAAAGGCCTTTTTCACTGAAGCCCGTCAGGCTCCGTACTAGACTTGTTTCGATCAATCAGGTGTCAGGACAATAACATTGTCAGCAAAGCAGGCCCATAATAACGCTGAGGTAATAAACGCTTCATGAGCGCAGTCACCGTTGGACAGACTGGGGGAAAGTTCCTCGAAACTTTCAGCCTGTGATAAAAGCTCTGGGCTGATGGTAATCAGTAATGGTTTGTGAGAGGAGGTGAACGGCGGTTTGTAGCGCTGAAAGGCTTTCAGGCGACAAGAGGGATGGAGAAAGTGCCAAGGAAAGAAGAGTTATAATGACATCGTGAAATGCGCTCTTGAGAAATTAAATACTGTTGAGCGTTTAACCATCTGGAGAACCTGAAAAGGTATTTGTGTTTCATTTGAAATCAAAATGATGAAGTGATATTAAACGTGTTTAATTGCCAGTATGAAATAAAAAGAGGGTTTAATAGAAACAGAATTGGCATCTCTCATTATTGTTTTACCACAGATGTTTTCAAATTGATCTATTCTTTTAATTTCCAAGGTTAATCGAGACATTATAACAATGTTAATGAGAGGGACTGTTTATTGCGCTTTGTTTTCTGCGTTATGTCTGTCAAATAGTGTCCATTTCTTACTTTTGAACGGATTATTTTTTTTAAATGGGTTTTTTATATTTAATTTGGGGAACTCATTCCTTGCCTCTATATAGAATGAAGATTACTTTCACCATCATTGACTGGAAAATAAGGAATTGTGCTAAATAAGCTAAGTAAATAGTTATTATTCAAACTGATCATGATCTAGCTCGGCAAGCCAGACATACATCAAGATGTCAATCTGAGGGTATGCCAATTACGGTTGTCAAAATAAACGGTTGTCTTTCAATATCCCTCTGCACGCCATAGGATAGCGCCACAACCAACCAGGGGTGCGTTTCCCGTACAACGACGTAGTTCGCTGATTCACTACCATAGTACGATGCATCGTTGGAAAAATCAACTAGCTAGTCACGGCTGTTTCCCGAAACCCACTGTCGCAAAGTATCCTTCAACCACGTTGGTTTCGCACGTGGTGGAGTATTAACTACCTTTAATGAAACTGTTTAAGATCCAATTAACGCTAGATTTGTTTTATATAAATTACAGACATGTCATGTAGTGTTGTAGTACTCGAGACTTGGACTCGTCTCGGACTCGGTCTCGAGACCATATTTTAATGGTCTTGGTCTTGTCATGGACTCGTGTCCATTTGGACTCGGAATTGACTCGTACTCGAACATTTTTTTTTTAGGACTCGGAATTATTCCCAAGTCCACTCGAGTTCAATTAAAAATATTTTTCATGATTATTAATGTATGTTAATAAAATATTTCTTTAAATTGATTGACATACCCAGTGATTGGTGATTTTCTAGTGCACAACTGCGCATGACAAATTGTAATAAAATTTCTTTTAACACCACCTACTATGTGGCCTTTTTACCCTAAACTGATCATATTTTTTAAACTCTAAGTAAATTCAGTAAAAAAAAAAAAAAAAAAAAAAAAAAAAAGGATTTCTCTAAGTAAATAAAAGTAAATGAGGTAATCAACCCTCACTGGTCTCGGTCTCGACTCGGACTCCACCGTCTCTGGTCTCGGACTCGACTCGGACTCGACTCTCTATGGACTTGGTCTTGACTCGGACTCGACTCTCTCTGGTCTCGGTGTCGACTCGGACTCGAGTGAGGTGGTCTCGACTACAACACTGATGTCATGTGAGGACTATTTCTAATTGTTCTCAGTTGTTTTGCTTTATTACCAGACTCAATATTTGGCTCGTTCTTACATAGTTTGCACGTTCGCACATGCGCACTCTTCAAACACGTTACTTCAAATCTTTTGACAAACTAAAAGACGTAAATTCCATTTGTATGTATTCTAAATAAAAGACACTGGTTGTACTGAATGTCAGCTTGCTTATTTTTCTCAAGATAAGGATTTATTACCTCCAAATGTCATGCAATATAGAAACGATGCCTCTAACCACAGGTCGAGAGCTGTCGTTCAAACCAAACTTTGCGATGCTGTTTGCAAATGTTCATTGGAACGATGGTTTCGGGAGACACAGACTCGTTAAACTATGCTGATAACGACGGAACTTGCGACCATAGTTGGCTAACGATGCTTTCGGGAAACGCACCCCAGAGCAACAATTGGCTGTGGCTGAGCGTTTTCCCACCAGCGAACCTATTGATATATTAAACTTTCGCCGTATCCGGTCGTCAAAACTCTGAACACATCTTCCTTAAGAATGACTTAAGTGACGGTCTCTTAACTCCAAGTCCAAGCCGAATCGGAAGACCGCTGTTCGCCAGCAGCATCTTGTTTGTTATCAAGTTATGAGTCAATAAGCATGTCCAGATTGGTTATTAAACCAAATAAGTGTATGATTAACCAATTATTGACATCCATCCACCGGAAACGCAAGCTCATGCAATGAATTTGCTGTGTTCAAGCACAGATCAAGTTTGGCAAACTCTGACCTGCATATTTTTATTACATTTTGTTTTGTTATATGCTGAATTTGTGTCCAAAGAAATTTGACATGCTCCAAGTCTAGTGTGACCTTGGTTTCAGAATATTTCTATTGCGATTTTTATTATCATGTTCAATAGTTTCATTGTTCTGTTTAGGCTCTTGTCATGGTTTTCTATGTCACAGTCAGTTCACACGAGTTCTCGTTCATTGTTTGTTGTGTTGTTTGTGTCCACCAAAACGCTGTTGTCGTGTAAATGACATTTGTACCACAATATTTATGCACAGTTTTATCAGTATACATACTATTTCTATTTTCAATTCATCTTTAAAAGCATTTTGATCAGCATCAGGCAGAAACAAATAGTTACACAACCAATAACCAAACGCCTTACAATTCCATTAAAATGGGTCACCATGACCAATAAATAAATAACCAAAGGGGAGAGTTTAATCTAATTTATATCTCATCTGATTTGCACTCATTCCTTGTTATTTTTCAATGAAATTTCAGCCGCTCAACATTGGAAATTGATTAAGGGTAATCGGCTCCAAATCATTCTAGCTTTTCTTAAATGGATGGCGCTCCATTGATTTTAATCTCAGGACAACAATCATGCAGGAAACAATGCCTTAACACCTCGATTCTGCCTTTGGAGATTTTACCTCCATGAATGATAGCCATCACAAGAGAAGCCGCATTGCATGATGGGACAGCATCTGTGTTTCAATATACAATCGCATTTCACCAAAGCTTATTACAGATTTTTCAAATGTGACCTAAGAACATCAATCCCATCAGTCAGTCCATAAGATCTGGAGGGTGTCAGGAAAGGCTGATCGCCCTGCGATTGATTTCTCTAATGGCCTGTGAAGCAGTTCTGCACCTCTTTTTCTTTTTAGCACATTTGTGACACTAATGTGAGCTGTCAGGCTCTGACGTGAGAATATCTGCTCCCATTGCAATGCTGCAAGAGTAATATCTCCTCGGAATGAATAAATATGTCCCAACTCACACATGAATCACCTATGAGCTAGTTTGAAAGGAAAGTTCTGGATTTAGTATGTGGTAAGCTAGAGTAGAAGGCACAATGTTGATTACCAAAGAAAATCATTTTGACTTATTGCTTCTGGATTTCTGTTTTTAAATAAACAAAACACAGTAGAGCTGCACGATTCTGAATACATTGAGAATCACGATTGTTTGTTTAAAATGGAGATCAGGATTCTGAATCAACACACTAAACTAAACAAAATAACTTAAATTGCTAGACGTTCTGACAAAATTGTTAAAATTACAGTCTATTTAATTATTATAATTAGTTTGAGATTATTAAAACAATAGTTTGAATGAATGAATGAAATTCAGTTATGGCGCCACCAACTGGTACAATTGATACAAATTTTATTTGAAGTACCACTTTCATGCAACGTCTTGCGAAGGCACATTGGGGATGAATTTTTGGTAAATAAAGTGGTAAATTATATGTTGATTTATTGCACAAAAATGCACTTGTGTCGCTTAATCAAAACTTGGGTCACATGGATTACTTTAATGGTTTCTTTAATATCTTGAAAGTGGTAGTTGCGTAGGCTGTAAATTGAGGGACAGAAAGTTTTCGTCAAAAAGATCTTTATTTGTGTTTCGAAGATGAAAGATAATCTTATTGGTTTTGGTACAACAGCAGGGTGGGTATTTAATAACAGAATCTTTAGTTTTGTGTGAACTAAAACTTTGCTTGAAAGTGTGATCTATTTTGAGATCCACTTGTTATTTTTAGTCATTTCTTGCTGACAAATAAATCAAGCCTTTTCAAAAAAAAAAAAAATGGTCTGAATGATCCATTAACTTCATTAACATTAATTTCCTTGTCAAGTAATGACTGGAAAGGTCATGGAAATGTGTTGGTCAAAAAAGGAGGGATTCTGTTGCAAAGACTACATCTGGAAATCTTGAACTCTGATTATTTCACACTAGTTTCATGCCAGAATATAAGATTTCAATCTTGAGGCTCTACCTTTAAAACAGTACATATTTTACTTCCATTTTATTGCATTACAGTAACCACGATTTTTGCTTAAAAAAACAGGGATGAGTTGAATTTATTTTCTGTGGACATTATATGGTTCTCGAGAAATGTGAAATATGTGATATTTACAGTATAGCAGCAGCCTTACATCAGTTTCTTTTTGGAGGAGATAGGGAATAGAAGGCAGTCTGTCATGTCACTTTGGGATTTGACTCCATTTATTCTCTTTTATCTCTTGGTGTGTGGCAGCCTGACAATGATATTTTGGGACCCAAGACACATCTCCAGATAATTGGTTCCAGGTCCAGCATCTGTGAGGAGAGAGAGCAATTTCACCACGAGTTGCCACATGATTGAGCTGAACTTCCAGAGAACAGTGAGTTACTACGGTTGAGAGACCTGCAGTTACCTGAAATAATTAGTAGTGCTTGCTATAAGGCAAGCCTTGCTATTGCTCATACTTAGGGCTAGGATTTCTAAAAAAAAAAAAAAAAAAACCTTATACCCAAAGTATTATATTATGGCAAGCAACTCATCTCCCATTGTTTGTGCTACTGTATATACGGGAATAATACTCTTGAAGTCTGCTGGGGAATGTATTGACGATTGCTAATTTGCCGTCAACCAGCAAGGAAGCACTCAAACACCCTAGCAACATCATAGTAACAATGTAACAACACTCTAGCAAACACAAATCAACACCATAGAAGCCACTCAGAACAAATTAGCAATACCCTAGCAACCAACCAACAACACAATTAAAAAAAAAACTGACAGAAAAGGCCAGAACTGGCCACAATGACATAGTGACAACCTAGCAACCACATAGCAACATCATGGAAACCACCCAAACTTAACTATAGTAACACAGCTGCTGCCTAGCAACACCCTAAAAATCACCCAGGAACATCACAATAAACTCGTACCAAACCCCTAATAACATCACCTACCATCCTCCAAAACCCAAACAACCACTTAGCAACATGATATTAACCACCTAGCAACACTCAAGAAACCTCCCAGAACACCCTCTCATCCACCAAGCTACAACAAACCAACAAAGCACCGAGCAAACATCTAATAACAGCATAGTTACACCTTATAAATCACCCAGCAACACCATGATAACAATCTAGCAGCACCCCAGAATCCATCCAGAACTTCTAAGCAACCACCTAGCAACACCTTGGAAACCCCTAAGCAACCCTGGAAGCCAGCCATAACACCATAGCAACATGGAGCAACTTTTGCATGGACAAGCACAACTTTATATCAGAAAGAATAAAAATCAGCTAGTTTGAGGTCACTTGGCGTTTTTTGTTTGGAAAAAAAAAGTGGCATTTGAAAGCGATTTTAGTGTGAGAAAGGTTGATTTCAGAATCATAGTATCAAAAACTGACAGTATTTGTGGAGAATAGACCATGAAGGACTCAACATGTCAACATCTTGAGAACCACATAAACAACAACGGGTCTCTCTGGTGTTCGGGAAAAGGTTTCCATCAAGGAATCGCTGCTGCATCGGTCTTATCTGCCCTTTGAGCTGAAACCTACTGATGAGCCCCTAAAGGACTCTGAGAACTTGATTCAAACATTAAAATTCTTTGTGATTGAATATGACCCACAGGCAGAAGAGATCAATACAATATACACAGGCACAAATTGGCTTCAGCAGAGAGCAGCAGGTTTGAGTGGCGACTCCTGAGAAAGTGATTGATAGACGCTTCAAACGTCATCCCAGAGGATTTACTCGGCTTGATATATTTATGGGTCAAATAAATAGAGATGCTGATAATCCTCCAAATAGTACAGTACAAAGTGTATAAAAAACTATACAAATAATATCTTTGGCAGCCCCTTGTCTCCGACAGAAATAAAAACCTTTTCACAGTCTGTGCAGACAATTTGCTTTTAGCTTTTAGCACAAGTTGCAGAGATAGTAGTGTCATGATAGGAAGTAAAGATGCCCCCAGTGGCTTGAACAAATGAGGTTCATTCTCGTGTGTTACACAGCACACACTGTGTAAGTTTCAACCCAAATTTGGGTCAAATATGGACCAACCCAAATGTTGGGTTAAAAATGCAATTATAAAAAATTATAGTTGAAAGGGAAAGTTGGGTTGAAATTTGAAATTACATTTAACCCAACATTGGTGTTTGTCCATATTTTACCCAAATTTGGGTTCAAACAACCCAGCATTGTTTATAGTGCATTTGAGCTTCAACAAGAACCAATGAGGTTCATTCCCGTGTTACACAGCACGTTTGAACTTCAACAAGAACCAATGAGGTTAATTCCCGTGTTACGCAGCACACACTCTAAAAAATGCTGGGTTGTTTCAACCCAAATTTGGGTCAAATATGGACAACCCCAAATGTTGGGTTAAAAATGCAATTATAAAAATTATAGTTGAAAGTGAAAGTTGGGTTGAAATTTGAAATTACATTTAACCCAACATTTGTGTTTGCCCAAATTTTACCCAAATTTGGGTTCAAACAACCCAGCATTGTTTATAGTGCATTTGATCTTCAACAAGAACCAATGAGGTTCATTCCCGTGTTACACAGCACGTTTGAACTTCAACAAGAACCAATGAGGTTCATTCCCGTGTTACGCAGCACACACTCTAAAAAATGCTGGGTTGTTTCAACCCAAATTTGGGTCAAATATGGACAACCCCAAATGTTGGGTTAAAAATGCAATTATAAAAATTATAGTTGAAAGTGAAAGTTGGGTTGAAATTTGAAATTACATTTAACCCAACATTTGTGTTTGCCCAAATTTTACCCAAATTTGGGTTCAAACAACCCAGCATTGTTTATAGTGCATTTGATCTTCAACAAGAACCAATGAGGTTCATTCCCGTGTTACACAGCACGTTTGAACTTCAACAAGAACCAATGAGGTTCATTCCCGTGTTACGCAGCACACACTCTAAAAAATGCTGGGTTGTTTCAACCCAAATTTGGGTCAAATATGGACAACCCCAAATGTTGGGTTAAAAATGCAATTATAAAAATTATAGTTGAAAGTGAAAGTTGGGTTGAAATTTGAAATTACATTTAACCCAACATTTGTGTTTGCCCAAATTTTACCCAAATTTGGGTTCAAACAACCCAGCATTGTTTATAGTGCATTTGAGCTTCAACAAGAACCAATGAGGTTCATTCCCGTGTTACACAGCACGTTTGATCTTCAACAAGAACCAATGAGGTTCATTCTAGTGTTACGCAGCACACACTCTAAAAAATGCTGGGTTGTTTCAATCCAAATTTGGGTCAAATATGGAAATCCAAATGTTGGGTTAAAAATGCAATTAAAAAAAATATAGTTGAAAGTGAAAGTTGAAGTTGGGTTAAAATTTGAAATGACATTTTTAACCCAACATTTGTGTTTGTCCATATTTTACCCAAATTTGGGTTCAAACAACCCAGCATTGTTTAGAGTGCATTTGAGCTTCAACAAGAACCAATGAGGTTCATTCTCGTGTTACACAGCACGTTTGAGCTTCAACAAGAACCAATGAGGTTCATTCCCGTGTTACACAGCACGTTTGAACTTCAACAAGAACCAATGAGATTCATTCCCGTGTTACGCAGCACACACTCTAAAAAAATGCTGGGTTGTTTCAACCCAAATTTGGGTCAAATATGGAAATCCAAATGTTGGGTTAAAAATGCAATTAAAAAAAATATAGTTGAAAGTGAAAGTTGAAGTTGGGTTAAAATTTGAAATTACATTTTTAACCCAACATTTGTGTTTGTCCATATTTTACCCAAATTTGGGTTTAAACAACCCAGCATTGTTTATAGTGCATTTGAGCTTCAACAAGAACCTATGAGGTTCATTCCCGTGTTACACAGCACGTTTGAACTTCAACAAGAACCAATGAGGTTCATTCTAGTGTTACGCAGCACACACTCTAAAAAATGCTGGGTTGTTTCAACCCAAATTTGGGTCAAATATGGAAATCCAAATGTTGGGTTAAAAATGCAATTAAAAAAAATATAGTTGAAAGTGAAAGTTGAAGTTGGGTTAAAATTTGAAATTACATTTTTAACCCAATATTTGTGTTTGTCCACATTTTACCCAAATTTGGGTTCAAACAACCCAGCATTGTTTATAGTGCATTTGAGCTTCAACAAGAACCAATGAGGTTCATTCCCGTGTTACACAGCACGTTTGAACTTCAACAAGAACCAATGAGGTTCATTCTCGTGTTACGCAGCACACACTCTAAAAAATGCTGGGTTGTTTCAACCCAAATTTGGGTCAAATATGGAAATCCAAATGTTGGGTTAAAAATGCAATTAAAAAAATATAGTTGAAAGTGAAAGTTGAAGTTGGGTTAAAATTTGAAATTACATTTTTAACCCAACATTTGTGTTTGTCCATATTTTACCCAAATTTGGGTTCAAACAACCCAGCATTGTTTATAGTGCATTTGAGCTTCAACAAGAACCAATGAGGTTCATTCCAGTGTTGCACAGCATGTTTGATCTTCAACAAGAACCTATGAGGTTCATTCCCGTGTTACACAGCACGTTTGAACTTCAACAAGAACCAATGAGGTTCATTCCCGTGTTACGCAGCACACACTCTAAAAAAATGTTGGGTTGTTTCAACCCAAATTTGGGTCAAATATGGAAATCCAAATGTTGGGTTAAAAATGCAATTTAAAAAAATATAGTTGAAAGTGAAAGCTGAAGTTGGGTTAAAATTTGAAATTACATTTTTAACCCAATATTTGTGTTTGTCCATATTTTACCCAAATTTGGGTTCAAACAACCCAGCATTGTTTATAGTGCATTTGAGCTTCAACAAGAACCAATGAGGTTCATTTCCGTGTTACACAGCACGTTTGAACTTCAACAAAAACCAATGAGGTTCATTCCCGTGTTACACAGCACGTTTGATCTTCAACAAGAACCAATGAGGTTCATTCTCGTGTTAAGCAGCACACACTCTAAAAAATGCTGGGTTGTTTCAACCCAAATTTGGGTCAAATATGGAAATCCAAATGTTGGGTTAAAAATGCAATTAAAAAAAATATAGTTGAAAGTGAAAGTTGAAGTTGGGTTAAAATTTGAAATTACATTTTTAACCCAACATTTGTGTTTGTCCATATTTTACCCAAATTTGGGTTTAAACAACCCAGCATTGTTTATAGTGCATTTGAGCTTCAACAAGAACCAATGAGGTTCATTCCCGTGTTACACAATGCGCGTTTGAACTTCAACAAGAACCAATGAGGTTCATTCTCGTGTTACGCAGCACGTTTGAGCTTCAACAAGAACAAATGAGCTTTATT